CTTGAGCCCAGGAGTTGGAGGTTGTTGTGAGCTGTGATGCCACGGCACTCTACCCAGGGGAGACAGCTTGAGGCTCTGTCTCAAAAAAAAAAATTTAGCCTCCAGCTCAGCGCCCATAGCACAGTGGTTAAGGCACCAGCCATGTACACCCAGGCTGGCAGTTTCAAACCTGACCTGGGCCAGCTAAACAATGACAACTGCGACCAAAAAATATCTGGGCATTATGGTGCATACCTGTAGTTCCAGCTACTTGGGAGACTGAGGCAAGAGAATCTCTTAAGCCCAAGAGTTGGAGGTTGCTGTGAACTGTGACACCATGGTACTCTACTAAAGATAACATAGTGAGACTCTGTCTCCAAAAAAAAAAGAAAGAAAGAAAATTAATCTCCCTTAAAAAGTTTTGAATCAGGTGATGCCTATGGCTCAATAAGTAGGGCGCCAGCCCCATATACCAAGGGTGGCAGGTTCAAACCCGGCCCTGGCCAAATTGCAACAAAAAATAGCTGGGCATTGTGGCAGGTGCCTATAGTCTGAGCTACTGGGTAGGCTGAGGCAGGAGAAACACCTAAGCCCAGGAATTGGAGGTTGCTGTGAGCTGTGATGCCATAGCACTCTACCGAGGTCAATAAAGTGAGACTCTGCCTCTAAAAAAATAAAAGTTTGAATCATTCCACTGCCATTTTAGTTTGGTTGACACTTCTGGGAGGCTAGTTCGTGGTTGGTCAGCCCTTTCCTCCTTGGGTGTCCCTTGGTGTTTCTCCTGGCCTATACAGGGGTGGTATTTACCTCCCCCCTGATAAGAAGCATAGACTCAGAGGAAGATTGTTTTCAGGAGCATTTAATGAGCCTTAAACTTTCCTAAACCACAGCTTTTCTAGGAGATGCCCTTCTGCTTCCCACCAGTGTCTGACTTCAGAGATCTTAGAACAAGCTAAATTGGACCTGACCGCTTACAATGTGGAAAAAATGAGACAAATGCAACCATCTTTCTAGTTGCTCACCCTTATCAGATTAGGGAGAAAGAACCATTACCACCTTCTACTGTGTAGAATCACCAGATTACCTTTAGTTTTAGTTTACTCAGCTAGCTACCCTAGAACATTTCTAGTGATTAAAGTAGCAAGGGAGCAGTTAGAAACAATCTCCTCTTTCACCAGGAAGCGTAGGACATGGGAAGAATAGAACAAAGGATCTACTTTGTCATGAAACTGAACTGCAGTGCCAACCTTCCTGTCATAGTGCAATGTCAGAGCTGTTATCTCAGATAGTTTATTGTTCCCTGCAAGGCCATTTACAGCTCCATAGTTCTGTGAGGTGACTACACCACTTATACAAAAGTATTCTCTTTACTTTCTCATTTTCTCCAATCTTACTCCTAAGATCAAGTTTTAATTTCTTTCACTGATCAGATGATCAGCTTTTCCCTTTATTGTTACCCTAAAACCTTGCCCTGAAATTTCTAGCCTTCAGAACCAAATTTTGGCCTCAATGACTCCTCAACAATGAAAAAAAAAAAAAAAAAAAGATTACCATTAAGCATGATGAGTTCCCCAGGGAAGACCTTTCCTATCTTGTTTGCAATGCTGTAATAGCCAGTTTGTCTTCGTTTACTTTTGATAATTGGATGATCTAGTGATTCTGGTTGGCAGAGAAAGTGTTCATAGCTCTCCAGTGTCCAGCAGATTCAGGAGTCATTTTGCTTTCCTTGAAAAGATTATAAACATAATATATGCATGGAATTAAATGGCATCCTTTTTTTTCAGGTTTTTATAACTATTTGTTTATCACTAATGAAACAGATGTTATCTTCATTTTGTAGTCAGGAAAACAGAAGCCCTGAGAAGATAAAATAATTTGGCCAGAGTTGTACATAAAACATGGGGCCCTCATTTCTTTGACTTGTAGTTCAGTGCTTATTTCTGTAAATTGTTCGGGCTTCGACCAATGGGCGGGGCTGAACTTCTTAGAAGCATATTCCCTAATCTTGTAACTCGAAAGGTATAGATTCAATGTAAAGGAAATATCCTGGGGTTTCTGGAATTAAACTCTGTTCATTTCTTTTATAACAGGCTTCTGCTGGACCCCTTGACATGTCTCTGCCTTCCACACCAGACATCAAAATCAAAGAAGAAGAGCCAGTGGAGGTAGACTCATCCCCAGCTGATAGCCCTGTCTCTAGCCCTTGTTCCCCACCACTGAAGAAGGTAAAATTCTCTACCAATAGTCATCCCAAATATTAATTAAGTTTTTATTCATTAGTTATATAAATCATGTGTGATATAGGAGGACTGATTGTATTTAAAGAAATGTTGGCTCAAGTGGCTAAGGTGCCAGCCACATGCACCAGAGCTGGCAAGTTCAAATACAGCCAGGCCTACCAAACAACAAAGACAACTACAACCAAAAAATAGCCGGCCATTGTGGTGGGTGCCTGTAGTCCCAGCTACTTGGAAGGCTGAGGCAGAGGAATCAATTAAGTCTAAGAGTTGGAGGTTGCTGTGAGCTGTGATGCAATGGCATTCTACCCAGGATGACAGCTTGAGACTCTGTCTCAAAAAAAAAAAGACAGAGTCTTCTTTGGGCGGCACCTGTGGCTCAGTGAGTAGGGCACGGGCTCCATATACCGAGGCTGGCAGGTTCAAACCCGACTCTAGCCAAACTGCAACAGAAATAGCCCGGCGTTGTGGCGGGGACCTATAGTCCCAGCTACTTGGGAGGCTGAGGCAAGAGAATTGCCTAAGCCCAAGAATTGTAGGTTGCCATGAGCTGTGACGCCATAGCACTCTACCAAGGTGACAGGGTGAGACTCTGTCTCTAAAATTCAAAAGGAAAAACAAATGTTGGCTAAGCAGCTAGGGCACCAGCCACATACACTGGAGCTGGCAGGTTTGAACCCAGCCTGGACCTGCCAAACAACAATGACAATTATAACCAAAAAATATAGTTGGACGTTGTAGCAAGCGCCTCTCATCCCAGCTACTTGGGAGGTTGAGGCAAGAGAATTGCCTAAGCCCAAGAGTTGGAGGTTGCTATGAGCTGTGATGCCATGGCACTCTACCAAAGGCAACATAGTAAGACTCTGCCTCAAAAAAAAAAAAACTTAATTATTTAGAAGATTTATATAAATTACACCTATTCTGTCTTCCAGTAATTCTACTTCTAAGTATGTGTGGAAGAGAAATTAGTGCATAATAGCCAAAAAACCTAAAAACATTCCAAATGTCCGTCAAAAAAAGGATGAATAGGCCAGGAATGGTGCCTCACGCCTATAATCCTGGCACTCTGGGAGGCCGAAGCAGGTAGATTGCCTGAGCTCAGGAGTTCGAGACCAGCCTGAGCAAGAGCAAGACTCTGTCTCTAAAAAGTAGCTGGGCATTGTGGTGGCAGGAACCTGTAGTCGCAGCTACTTGGGAGGCTGAGGCAAGAGGATCACATGAGCCCAAGAGTTTGAGGTCACTGATCTGTGATGCCACAGCACTCCACTGAGGGCAATAAAGTGAGACTCTTGTCTCTTAAAAAAAAGAATTAAAAAAATTTTTTTTTAATTAGCCAGGTCTGGTGATGCATGCCTATAGTCTCAGGTGCTCTTGAGGCTAAGGTGGAAGGATCACTTGAGTACAGGACTTTGAGGCTGCAGTGAACTTTAAGGATACCACAGTACTCTAGCTTGAGTGATAGAGTGAGACCATGTATCAAAAAAAAAAAAAAGAAAAACAGGCTCAGCATCTGTAGCTCAGCAGTGAGGGGGCCAGCCACATACACCAAAGATGGTGAGTTTGAACCCAGTCCGGCCCTGCCAAACAATAATGACAACTACACACACACACACAAATAGCCAAGGGCAGCTGGGCACCTGTGGCTCAAGTGGCTAAGGCGCCAGCCACATACACCTAAGGTGGCAGGTTCAAATCCAGCCCAG